AAAGCAAGCAAGACTAAAGGCTATAGAGATAGCCTTAAAGAGCAGTGCCTGGTGACGTTTCAGAGGCTCAGATTGTTTTCCAAAGTATGGCTCACTGTCTCGCAAAAGCTGAATAAATTATGTAAAATGAGCACAAATGTGCAAAGACATTTAATTTGCCTGATTTATACACATCATGGAATTCAAATTTGGTTGGAAAATAATTCAAGGTTACCTTGAAAGTAATTGGCTCCTCTTTTTTAAGCACTCAGTCAGACATGCCCCAACGAAGATGTACCTTGGCTTGTTTGCCTAAACAAACTCCTCACCCTCCACCCCAAGTGCTTAACATGTAATCCAATTATTTAACATACCACAAGGAAATCTCTGCCAAGCTTTGATCAGTGCATTGCCATGGTTGAGCAGCTCATTGTTATTTAATTTAGTACATGAACCCAGCTCAGTGAAGCAACAATGTATGAAAATGAAAAGGCACTCAGGAATTCAATTAAGTCAATCACTGAGTGAAGGGGGATGACATTCCATCTAATGGATAAAGACTGTGGTTAAATTAGGACATCCTGGAGCCTCAACTCTTCCAGGTAAAAACAGGCACTATCAAGGTTTTACTTCACCTGACTGCACTTATGACCGCAGATGTTCTGGTACTGGGATCTACAGGAGGGAGAGAAAGTTTAAAGGAAGGGCCAATCATGGCATCAGCGTCATCACACGTGTGGTATCAGGACCTCACCTAGTCCTTGGCACTGAAGGTAAACAGCCACACAAGAACAACCACAGCAGCTCTCTCCTCTTCCTTTGCTTGGGTGCTGAACCAAGTAACATGAATGGAGAACACTGATGAGAGCAAATACTGCTGCTTTCTCATCAGACAGCCACTGAATTGTTATGGAAGCAGAACACCAGAAGAAAATACAGGCGGAAGGACTCTGCTCATGATGGATTATTAGGAAAAGCAGAGATGCAAAGTTTGTTTAACTATGGACAACAGTTACATTGCCTTGCTGCTTTTTTGCTGGTGCTGTGGTGGCATTGACTATTTTTATATTGGTTGTTCTTTCAGCAGTTTATCATATTTTATTACAAAAATGGTAACCAATTTTGTGTGGAAGATAACAGGAGCATAAACATAATTAACAAATTATGTTAAGTGTTGTGCTTCTCTCTATCTTTCAGTATCACTCTCATCTGAGGAAAAGGTTAGTAAATTAGGCAGCTCATGTCAGACGTTACCTAGTATCATGTTCTAACCATGGTTGTGTCATAGAGGTACCATTTCAGGAGCTCAAGTTAAGCTCCTGTGGCTTAAAAGAGAGGAACGAAGCAGAGGGAACCATTCGGCATATCAAGAAAGATGCAGTGATTTCAGACAAATAAGTCCCATTCGCAGACTGCCCAAAAAAGTCACCCTAATGTAATTGGTGCTTCCACCAAGCAAGGAACCCCTTTCCTTACAGTGACAATGGGACAGCAAAATCCTGTACCTACACCTAGAGGTAACATGTCCTCACCAATCCTTCCAATGCTCAAAAAGAAATTTCAAGAAAGGAAAAATAATGTAAGTCACTGAATAGAGAAAATGCCACTTAAAACAGGGTGGACAATTTCAGGAGATCTGGGGTCATTTTGATCACCCCTTTCATCGACTGTCCCTTCTCCCCTGCTACAGTGCCTTAAAAATAAAATAAATAAATTTTCATATCCAGAGCAGCCATGGAGTGCCAAATGGGTCAAAATTAGATTCTTTTCACTACAAAGGTAAAGATGACTTCAAAATGGTTGCTTTGGACACCATGCCGAACGTTGCCCACCCCTGACTGTAAGGTAAACAGAGTTCCTTCCCCAGCCCCAAAACTGGCTTTCTGGGTGCTTTTGAACAGTCGAGATTCCCTGAGTTCCACAGGGACACATGGCTCCTGTGGTGGGCAGGGAGGGGCAGAGAGACTGCAGCTTGCAGCCAGTACTTCAAAGGAAAGGAAAGGAAAGGAAAGGAAAGGAAAGGAAAGGAAAGGGGCCCTAAAGAAGAAGGGAAAATTGCAACCTCACAAGGGACCACAATTTTAGGGGCAATTCTTGTCCTCATGCTCTGTTTGGGAAGCCGAGTGTGGACAGGAAGAAATCCCTCGGCAAATAAATAGATTTAAAATGTGTCATGTTTGCGGAGTCCATTCTTCTTTTCTCAACACCAAAGCAAGCTAGAGCAAACTCTGAAGTAAAGCCTCAAATCCTGAGCTCAGTGTAATCCAAGTTTAAATCCATCTTTAGCCACAGCACTGACAGCATATGCTGCACCTTTCTATCTCGTTCACCATCTCTGCTGAGCCCACTGGGCTGGAAGAGAAACACGCAGTCTGGAAAGGGCACCAGTGATTAAGTCATCCACGCTTTGCAAACAGGGAAAACAAGGCACAGAGGAGCCGTTCCAGGAGTGCATGGCTGGGGAATGGACTAAAATTTGCACAGAGTTGATCTGGCTACAATACAACATGAAACCAGTGAAATGTAAAATAAGTTGCCATTTAAATAACTCTGTGTATGCCATGTGACCAAGCTCTCACCAGTTTATGAGCATTCTGTAATCCCCTCTGCCCATTGATCCCTTGGTGCTCGGGGGATAAGGATTTGCAAAAATGCTAAGGGAGAGCAAAACCTTCTGCGGATAAGAATCTTGCTGGAGGTATCTTTTGCTCACAGAGAGGCCAGCTGCAATTCTCTTATTAAAAACAACAACCTTCAAATGCTAGACTATTGTTAATAGGCCGATTCTCACAGTCTCTAGGCTGAATGCACTGAGGAATTTCCCTGCTGTTTCTACCTTAGTTACCAAGCAAGTCAATAAGCAATTTTAAATTCCAATACATCCAAATGAATGGGCACATGCAAGTGAGGAATGGAAAACTTTCACTCAAGAAAAGAGGGCAACCCATCTTAGTGCAGCACACCACTAGGCCTTGGCATCTCCTCTTTGGCCCTGTGTGCTGCCTGTGCACTGCATTCAAGTCTCATGTTCCTTTCCCCACTTTCTATCTACCCAAGGGCATCCCAAGACTTCTGCTGCCTGGGGCAATGAACAAGATGGGACCTCCCCCATTCCAGTTACAGAAGCTACCCAGCTGACTCTTATGCTGGTGCTGGAGATGGAACAGCCGACTCCACCACTGCTCAGAATAGCAGTTTAGCTTGTGGGGCTCACAGCAGGCCCCTGAGAACACACAGCCCTTGTCCTCCAACCCAGAGGAATAGCCAGGGGGCTAGTGCAGTCAGTGCCTCTACGACACCACCCAGCAGTAGCTGCTGCATGCTCCTCAGGCACTCAAAACTACCAAGACTGGTGTAGATTCTAATAATGGATCAGTTTTTCCTGACAGATCCTTATATGCACATTTTTCAGGCAATGATATAACCTGCAAAAGCATGCAACAGAATAAGGCATTCAGCACAAAATTGTGTTTAAATTACAGGCATATTTAACTAGAAATACCAGAAGACACATTTTCAGAGGTTTAAAAGCATGAGCTAGCAGTGCAATACTACACAAATCTACTCAAAGCTAAATCTCATTCTGCCCAAAGATTGCAGTCTAGATGAATATGAATGCCATGGGTCAAGCTCCAGTGAGCTATGGAGTTATTGGCTTACAAGTAGTTAGCTCAGACTTTCACCTTCCCATTTGCAATGCCCATTTTGACTTCAGTTCTGCATGTACGTGCAGCCAACATCACGGGCGCGTGTCTGTCTTTAAGTATCTGTACAGAGCCCAGCCTAACAAGACTGTGATTTTGGCTCTGCATGTTTTTTTCCTAATTCAGATAACATTTTCTTTAAAAAATAATGAGATGCAAGACCGAGACCGCGGGTAAAGGGCTAGGGGGGAATGCAGAGAATCACTACCCCTGCTGGTGAGCTGGTTGTATTCGGCACTGTGCTGCTCCTCTTCCTCCTGCTCCTCCGTGGCTTGTGCAGGCCGGCAGCTCTACTGGTGGGGCGCTCAGTCAGTGGCTGGGCGGCGTGCGGCTTCTGCTGCTTTACCGGGGCAGCATGCAGGGCACAGGCCTGCGACTGGTCTGGCGCAAAGCCCCCACAGCTGCTGCGCGGCTCCCTCGTGTGGCTGGCACGCTGGCGGGCCGCAGCAGTCCCTCACTTGCGTGCAGGCGCAGACTAGTGGGCAGCTCAGCCAGCACTTCCTCCCCGCAGGAGCGCCAGAGTTGGAAGAGGGGCTGGCGCACATGCGGCAGGAGCAGCTGGCCTGGCACGCGGCTGGTTCCATGGACATGGTAACTGGGGATCATTGTGTGTCATGCGATCCTCATCATCTTGGGTTATTTGGGGCTTAACCCGTGCACAGTTCTGCTAGTAACTGAGAGTTGTGCAAGGGTGGTTTAACCCTCAAATGATCCCCCATCGTCAGGTTCACATGACACACTGCAACCTCCTCACTGCCCCAATAAGGAATTGCATATTTGAAACAGCACAGGCAGGTGCCTGGTACACATTAAGTAACCTGCAATGACTTGGCTGTGTCATGTGGACCAGCTCTTTGATCCTCTCTTTCACACCCGGGCACACCATAGCAGAAAGCATGCATAGCCAGGAGGACTTGAGGCCCCCGCACAAGCAACAAGCACCTCTTTCATCAAGGACGTGGATTTTTTGTGGGCATTTGTGCAGTGGCCTCACCCCAGAAAAGGAATCCCTTCTCTCTCACACAGAACAAGCAGCATAAACCCTAAAAACTCTCTTAATTGCATTACCCTCAAATCTCACTTGCAACTAGGAAGTTTTTGTCTGTGGGTTCTTGTTGCCACTTATGCTCATTCAATTTGCAAACCGTAATACTTGCCGATAACCTGCAGACATGGGTGGTTTCCTGAATAGTGCTGATTATATTGCCAATCTGCACCCCCGCCCCACCCCCACAACACTTTATAAAGAACCAGCTGTCAGCAACTGCAGACTCCATATCTGTTTGCAATAGATGACTCACAGAAGAGAAAACCTACCTGTAGGATAACCCAATGTCCCTCTGCTGCTGCAAGGTCTAAGGCTTGCTCAGCCACTGTCTCCTGGCCTTGGCCAAGAGACACGTTGTGGAAGTTCTTGTTGTTAAATGTGTAGCCAAGTTTCTTCCCTGAAAGAGGAACAGATGCTTTTCAGCTCAGTGGGGGACACAGCAGAGCACCCAGATTTCAAGCTTCCTTCATAAAGAGAAACCGTCTCAAAGCATTAGAACCTTTCCAGCTTCTCCAAGATCTCTTTAGTGCGCAACACAATGCAAAAGTGGAACTTAGGTCTTTTGTTTGTACAGACAAACAGGCCTTTTGTACAGAATTGACACATCTGTATAAACATACATACGAGTAAAGATAGGGAAGTATCCTTAGTATTTATTCTTTTGGTAAAATGAAACAGACCCAGGGCTACCTACTAAAGTATAGTAAGCACTTGGTTCATGCAGTAGATTAGTGCTGGCTTCACTTCAGAAATGAAAGCCAAATGTTATACTTAGCGAATAGCATGCTTCTTCTAGCTTATTTAGCACTTGATGAATTCTTTCCTGCAAATACAGCAGAATCCCCATATCCACTGGCTCAGTTACTACAGTTTCTGTTAACTGTGGTTGGTTTCAGCTGGAAGGAGACGTCATGAAGTGCTGTAAAGTGCCAAAGGAAGTCTTAAAGTGCTGAGGGAAAAATTAATGAAATTAGGGAAAAGAAGTGTATGCAGTTTGTTTATTTTACAACTCTCTACTTGCTGCCCGTGGGTGCCAACTTCCCGCTCACCTCTGGTCTCCACCACCCACAAGCACCCACTTTCCACTTGCTGCTTGCTGCCACCACCTGGGTGCCACTTGCTGTTGTATAGTGTATTGCTCAGTGTTTACTATTATCCACCGTTTCAGGCATCCACTGGGGGCTTGGAACCAATCCACACAGATATGGGGGTCCTGCTGTATAGCCACCGGGCCGGGGAGAGGAACCAGACTGGAACCACTGCAGTGCGCAAGAGGGGGAGTGTTAACCCCCCATCCCTTGCTAATGTCATACCAACCCCCCACACCCTCTACACCAATATTCTGGAACTGCTGTTTGCCCCCAAAGGGGGCAGCATTGTGGAAATCCCTCCTGTGAAGCATAGACAGTTTCTTCTTTGAAACGGGAAAAGAACACTGTTCAGCACAGTGGAACCCACAGCTCCTCACCCTCCAACTCCATTCATAAAGAAAAGCTGTGTGTGCAACAAGCCAGCACACCTGTGTTATCTTATTTCAAAAACACCTCCTACAAAATAAATATAAGGTTTCTTGCCACGGACAACACACGGGGGAAATTGCGGTGTTCAGCAAGAAAGCACCCTAGGCAGGAAGGTTAACCCCCACACACTTTGCAGTCCCAAAATGGATCTCCCTCCCCATGCCTGCTTTTTTTAAAGAAGAACGTGTCCAGAGCAAGGCACATCAGGAGGAAGAAGTAGTTTGTGCGTAATGAACGCCTGCTTTATTTGTCACCCATATTTAGTAAGAATTTATCCCAAGCAACCAGACTGTGAAGCTTTTATATCTTAGGAAACAGGATCTTTCATTTCTTTCACAACTAATCAATATCCCAAGAACAATGAAGCTGATCAGGACTTTTTAAAAATGTGAGCCAGACACAAAAGTACAGTTCTAGGGGAAAGCCTGCTGTTCCCACTGCTGCACTGCAATTTCCCCGCGTCAAGATCTTCATGTTCTCCCCCCCCCCATCAAGGTGCACATGTTGCACTTTGTCCCAGGCTTCCAGGTACAACCATAGACAGCCACAAGGAGCCCTTCCCTGTTTAGAGTTCATAACAAAAGCTCACAGGATCAGCAAGGAAGAGGAGTAGCACCCACACATCACTGATCCATATATGCTTTGGCAGCCCAATCAGATGTGCATTAGGATGCTTAGATTGGAATGACAAAAAGCTAAATGCCTCTTTTGCAGCTGAGTAATAAACCCTTACATCAAAATAAAGCCTTGAAGTCTGGATCTACATGGTACCTGGAAAATAATGGGAATAAGCCATAGGGCATTTTTGCACATAAAAAGAGACAACTGCAAGGATTTGCAATGCAAACCTATTTGGATGGTTAGAGTTCTGATTTGCATATCCTACATTGAGGGTGTCATTCTGGCACCAGTAATTCTGGCACCACCTCTTGGCACAGAGACTGCAATATTTTTTTCAAAGGCACTCAAGTTCCACGTTGAACAAATGAGAGAGATAAAAAGTATATAGCTAGAAATACAATACTCGTGTTGTAAATATAACATGGAAACCATCTCTGTGTGTTGCATATTCAAGGGCACTTACACACAGGATCTACAATGGAATCCCTTTTCCCAAGTCTCCACGGTGGTTCTTAACTTCCCAACCAGCTTTATTTTTTGATAGCAAGGTCTGTTAGAAAGCCCTCCACAATCGGGGATTGGAACAAATCCTGGGTCATGCACTGGGTTCTGACAAGATACTCTAGGACTAACTCTGGGCTGATTTGAAATATTATTATTATTATTATTATTATTATTATTATTATTATTATTATTATTATTATTATAACATTTCTATGCCGCCCCTTGCCGAAACCTCGGGGCGGCTTAGAAATACAGGTTATGTCACAGGGAGCCATAACTTGTTCAGTGTTTTAAATTAACTTTATTGCAAATTTGGATAAATTAAAATAAAAATTGAAAAGGGATGATAAAATAAAGTACTACCATTTTCTAGCAAATGTCTAACTAAATCCACTGCAATAGATACATATACCACACGCACACCATTATGTCTTAACATGACAAAAATTCTACTTGTTAACTGTAACAAATCTATGAAGAGAACTCACGGACTGGGTTCAAACCAGGTGATAACCCCCACTCAGCCCTTCAGGGTAGTTTGAGTACGGTTGTCGCTGAATGAGTTAACCCGAGTTTCACAGTCAGCCCACATTCAACCCTTGCCCACATGCACCTGCCTCAATCCTGTTCATCTTGGAGCTGTTGTGGACAACAGGCTAAGTATGAGCCAACAATGTGATGCATCTACAAAAAGCGCCAATGCTGTTTTGGGATGCATTAATAGAAGCATTGCTTCCAAAGCACACGTGCTAACAGTTCCCCTATTCTCTTCACTAGTCAGATCTCATATAGAATACTGTGTCCAGTTCTGGGCCCCAAGATTTAGGAAAGATGCAGAAAAATTAGAAAGGGTCCTGAGGAGGGCAACAAAAATGATCCAGGGTTTGGAAACACTGCCCTGTGAGGAGAGACTGAGAAAAATGGGTATGTTCAGCCTTGAGAAGAGAAGACTGAGGGGAGATATATCACTTTATAAGTACCTGAAAGGCTGTCACAAAGAGAAAGAACAAGGCCTCTTCCTGCTCATATCAGAGTGTAGGACACAGAATAATTAACTCAAGTTGCAACAAACCAGATTCAGGCTAGATATCAGGAGAGGTTTCCTCACTGTCAGAGCAGTACAACAGTGGAACCAGTTGCCTAGAGAGGTCATGGGCTATTCCACACTTGAGACATTAAAAAAACACACACACACACAACTGGACAGTCATCTGTGTCCACAACAGCAGGGGGTTGGACCTGATGGCCTTCTTGGCCCCTTTCAACTCTACTATTCTAGGATTCTATGATTTTTTGCAGCCCTCTTGATTGAAGATGATGTATGAAAGCATTTGTACGGAGTATGAGATGCAGGCCATTTTCCCCTTGAGGGCACTTGAGCTCCCCAGGGGACGACTAGAGCATCCTAGGACAGAGACTTACATTACTTTTTGTAGTTTCTTTTAGGTCTGTGAGTCCCACAAAGGAGCTGCAGGATACTCATACCTGGCCTCAGCCAGCCTCTGAGAGAACCCCAGACTTCCTTCACAAGTCAGATGGTGAACATTGGATCCAGTTGAATCCCTGACAATCAGGGACAGGATTCCCTTTTGGACTCAGTCAACCCTAAGAGACCTAGTCATAGTCACTGTTGCTGTCAATGGGCTGGGTCTAGACTTAGTCAGGCTTAGAGTAGACCCACTGAAATCAATGGGGAAAGTTGGCAATGACTAGCATATACCATTGATTCCAATGGGTCTGGTCGAATCTTGACCTAGATGCTTTCCTAGCAAGGGCCATTTCATTTTGACTCAGATAATGGCCGTAGATATTTGTGCTTGTTTATAGTATCAGGTGAGAGACATAGGAACTGAGCTGCTGTGTAAGGTCAGCTACAGGGAAGGCAAAAAGCATGTTCTATCAGCAAAGTGAGAAGACCTCATGGAGCCTTACATGAGGCTTTTCCTTCTTGACAGGTCCTGGACTAAACATAGCAGCCAGGAAGGAAGTCTTTTAGGAAAAAGAAAGCAGAGACCTTTCATCTTTATAGAATAAGGTGAAAATAAAGTTTAAGAGGTTAGCTTCTAAGGGACTAAGCTCAATTTCCAGCAAAAGCTGCTAAACTCTTTTCTATTATGCAAACACATTAAGCAAACTCACCCTGAAGCCAAGAGGAGACGCCTTCCCAAGAGTAAAGGCTCCCTCCCCAGGGACCCCACCCCCCATTCTGCTAAAGCCAGCTAGCTACCACATTGTACTGGCATTTGGCTTAATCGGTGTAATGGAAGTGAGGGTTTCTTTACCATGCTTCTCCACATCCTTCAGGGGGTCAACTCCAGGTGAGAGGATAAAGAACATGGGGATTGCAGGACCTGACTCCTCAAATGATGTTGCAAAATCCAGAGATCTTCCAACCACATATGCACTCCCAAGCTTTTCTTCCACAAAATCTCTGTTGAGAGAGATTACTGTTCAACATACACAGTAAGTTTATAAAATTTACCATACATTTTCACGGAGTCAGAATTAACCTACTGAAACCTATATGATCTCAGGATTAGTTACCTTAGAGAAGGAGATCAGGAACTGGGACACCTGTCCCTCTCCACCTGGCAAAGTCCAAGACTGGAAACAAAGGAGGTGTGGGAGAAGGGACAACCTGTCAATGTAATATATCTGCAGGCCATACTAGGTAGTTGTGGCCTGAGGCTCTCTAGGAAGCTTGCTTTTAAACATTGCCTTGAGCAATCATGTGGGCTGTCCTTAGTACTTGATAGACGTAATTTACTATACTTCAGAAACAGTGAAAAATCTGTATTTTAGATTAGAAATATTCAGTTTTAATAAGCCTTAAAGTTACCAGTATCAATGGTGCCAGTATTACTACAAGCTGCTCAGAGAATTATTAATTTTTAAATTTTTAGATGCACTGGGCATATGACACATAAAGATAAGAGTACCAAGAAACACCGGATCCTTGTGAAAACAGACTTTATGCCATATGTCTAAGATACCATAACTCTTCTTGACCATAATCCACAAAGGTGCACTGTAAGGCTTAATTAGGAGCAGGAAGAAAAGCAAAAATTGCAATAGATTCCACCTCTCTAAATTAAAAAATTTAAAAGAAAAGAAAACCCACACAGGGAAACACAAGTTCAGGGATCTGACCCCAGAGCTCTTGGAATGGCTACTACAACAGCTGCTTTTAAACTATTGTATTCCAATTTTTGCTACACATGTTTTTGGGCCGTCAGCATTTTGTACTCCATCTTCCATGACATTATACATGGACGATGCATTCTTGGTGTCTTCACCAAGAATGCACAGGACCATTAAGGTACTATGGTATGTCTGCACACTGCACACTCCTTTCCACCCCAACTCCCTTGGGTGATTTGGAGAGGCAAAAGAGATGGCCAACCAGAATCATGTAGCCACAATCTGCTAAGAGGCCTCCTGGTGCTGCTGGTATGTGCACATCAGCAGGGACCAATGCTTAGTGGCCACTGACCAGGAGTAATAATTTTTCAGGTATATGTAAACATTGAAGGATACAGTGGAAGATTTGGTATATTCTGATATGTTCCCCCCATCATTTGAGATAGGCTCTCAGATTGTTGGGTGAACCCTGACAAAACCAAAAAATGAACCACAAAACATGTCTGCTTTATGCTCAACTTCTTGCTGATATTATGGATGGTACCACTTGTTAAGTAAACTTGGGAAAGAAAAGAACCGAACCGAACCAAAATGAAACCTGCACACACCATCTGGGATCTTTGGGCATCTGATAAATTCTCATACTGAAACCCATTGGTTTAGATAATTCACTTTCCAAACTTTGTAATTCTACAATACATGAAAACAGAGTCGTTTTTCTGCAGGAAAACATGTAACTGTTGAAAGACAAATTAGAGCTTTCAGGCCCAGGGACATTATCAAAAGTTACCCAATAGGAGACTACGATGTTAAACAGCAAGCAAATCCAGATGGAGCAAAAGACCTTTTGCTTTTCGGGAAGTGCTTGTACTATTCTTAAATGCCGGCCTGAAGTTTACATTTGCTCAGTCTGCTTCACTAAATAACTTATAACTACATCATCAACCAACATCAGCTAAACTTTGTTATTCCTTCCCTTCACCAGAAGGAACAAATAAGTAATGCCACAAGACATGCTTTTTAGTACAGCCTCAGAGAAATGACAAGCACAATTTACTAATTGAATAAATTATACAGCTTGTTTCTGTTCAAATTGTTTCCTTGTGAAACTGGAGAGACGGGGCAGGTGTCTTCCATTGGGATGTGCTAGCATGCAGGATATTTCTGCCTGGGAAGGCACGGAGAGGCACTGAGAACTTTTCCTTGAACAGGCCACGCTTCTTTCACTTTTTTACAGAAATGGTTTGGGGAGAGAAGCAATAATTTCTAATGAAAAGATATAAAACAAGTCCTGAAGAGAATGACCAAATCGAAATGGCTTTTGTTTTGTAGCAGGCAGAGAGAGCAAAATAAATAATAACAGCACAGTGTGTTCGGATGGTGGTTTAAAATTGTATGGTACTTCACCTCTTTTACTGAAGGGTGGCCCAGGGTAAAATATACTGGCAATTGATTCATTAATAATTAAAAGCAACAATGTAAGTCATAAAATGCAACTTCAAAGTTGTTCCAGTTGTGGTCTCGTTAAGTGGCCAAAGAGGGCTTATTCTCACAAAGTTTGTGTTGGGACATTTTTATGGGAGAGAGGTTTGATTTTTGAGGGTTTATCATACAATTGAGAAGAACCTCAATTTATATTTGCATGTTGTTTCGTAGTAGTTTAAGTAAAAAAGAAACACTGAAAAAAGCACTTTGTGATCATTATCATCATGCCATGAGACTGACAGCCGAATGCAGCACAGAACGCTCCCTGTTCAGCATTACAACCCTTCAGTTTGGCCCCACCCCAGTCTTCCCAACAGTCAGCCAGGATTCAGTGACCCTTAAGGACTGGATCATTTTCATCCCTCTTACAGAATAATTTAATCATCATTATATTTGTATTTTAATGTTACATATGCTGCTCTGGATCCCTTGTGAAGGAAAGCTGGCTTTCCCTTCAGAATTTTTTTTCTAATTCTAAAGGTTTGTTGCATTCTGCAACTGTGTGGCATCCCTTGACCTGCTGGTTCCTCCCTCCTGCCTCTGGGTAGCACCATTTTGGGCATAACTTGGGAACTGAGACTGCTACGTGTATATACAGTGACAACCTTGGCCTCTTCCTGTATAAGATCACCCAGCTTCTCATCATGCCCAGCAATTCTATGCCATGAAAAGATCCAACACAAATGGGTAACAGTGATGGCAGAATAGAATAGTAAGTTTCCTGGCAGTACAGGTCTCTTTTTAAAAGAGAATGTAATGGTGATCCTGTTACCCTTGTCAACTGCCATCTTGATAAAACTAGTTCAAAAGAAAACATCCTGATTCTCACAATGCAAAGAATTTGAGGTGGTTAAGTGTTTGGTGCAAATTCATTTTCTGAGCTAACTTTCTTGCCTTGAGATTATTTTAGCAAATGTCAAAATGTACGCAAACCTTCCATACAAATCAGCCATTCACCATTAATGATTCTGAGGGATTTTTTTCACCAATTTAATGTAAGCATATCTTGTTTTACAGTTGGAAAAGAGCATTAATTTATCTTCCATTCAAATGTCAGTTTGAAATTGTTTTTTTTTATTTGTTTTGAGCTGTGTTTGATATTTCCAAACAAAACTTTTCAGATTGACTTTTACAATTTATTATTTAATGTAAAGTTCCAAGAGAGTTTGAGGCTTCCTTTTGCCATACAAAAAGAATTCTAACATGTGTATGGAAGGTTTGGACACACCCAGCTCCAATTTAGGAATAGCTATCCAAAAGGTAATTCCTGAAAGGCAGAGTATTTATTTGTGGTGGATGAAGGGAGAGAGGCTAACGTAATGGCATACACTGTGCACCACCAGCATCCTGAAAATGGCAATCAGTGCTGAATATGGCTGAGGTTAAATGGGCTTCCTTGATTGAGTCTGTACTGATTACGTGGCGAGTAGGAAGATGGGAGGAAATGATTCACTCAGAGCTTGGAACATGAATGTGTGAGGACAAGACATTTAATCTCCTATTATATGACTCATTTGTTGTTTGTTGGACACAATGTTCAAAGGTTTGGTTTTTGGCTTGACTGGACAGCATGTGGCTTAGAAGTCTTGTGAACAGGACTTGCCTTACGGCGTATGTCATGCGGTCAGGTCGTAAGGCTCTCATCATACACAGTTGCTGCAAAGCCGACTTATTCTTCCACTCTTGCGGAAACTTTTCCTTCTCAGGGCATTCAGATTCTACAAATTTCTTCCAGCGCTTGGCAGAACCCTCAATATCTCGATCTAGGTTGCGAAACTGTTCCATGGATGACAGAGCCTGGAAAAAGAGGAACAGAATTTATTTAAAATAAGGAACCCCACATATCCGGTACTTATATTTTTAAAGTATCTCATTGTGCTGTTTATTTAAGAGGGGGATACTATGGTTTCTGGCATGTCTTTAAAATTATTCAAAATTTCCAAAATCATTGGGAATTGTCTGCAAACATCTCAGGAAAAAAATTCCTCAAATTATCCACTGACAAATACAACACCTCCACTCTCAGCTTGAGGCTCTCTGAATCATTTTTTATTTTCAAAGCAGCATCCCCCACCTCTTCCTTTAAAGTCAGGTTTCAATACTCTTACTGACATGAACAGATTGCATGTATTTGAAAAAGATACTCACTGAACCTTACTCTGTGGAGATCTGCTTCTCCCAACGCGCCACCCCCACACACAGGGCCAGGCTCCAGTCAGCCACCTGCCCAGGCCAACAGCCCAGCAGAGAGTCTCCAAAGAGCCCCCCGGCCTGGCTCCTCCTCTTCACTGCTGCAACTGGTGAGTTCATTCTCCTTTCTTCATGGCGCAGGCATTGGTGGTGGTGTGAGGGAGGAACAGCAGGGGCCAGTACCTAATTGTGCACTGACAGTCCGCCTGGCAAAGAAGCAGGTGGTAGCAGTGATGAAGAGGAGGAACCGCGGCCAGCACCAGTGCTGGACTCACTGAAGGAGCAGCCCCACTGAGGCTGCCTTGCCAACAGCTCCCCAAAACTTAAAGCTGGCACTGCTCTCCCTGCTTTGCCCTGGTTCAGAGGATATGGTTAGCTAGACATGCTGGGTTGCTGCACTGTTTGAACATAGCCCCCTTTATCAAACAGCCCATGAGCTGTCATAGGATTTGTTTTTCGCCTGGTGAATTGCCGTGCATCTGAACACGGGCAACTGACCCCGCCAAGGGTAAAGTTAAATGGCGAGCAAGACACCTGCCATGCCTGGCAATCCCGCCTGTGCTGCCACCAGTGGCGGATCCCTCGAGAGGCCCAAGCGGCACATTGGCGGCACATTAGGGAGGTTGTCACTGGTTGGCCACAGTTGTTTTTTTTTTAACTGTACCTGAAATGAGCAGAATTTTTAAAATAAAAATTTCAAATTATTTATATAATTGGATTAGTGCAAATGTGCAGCCACACTTGTCAATTTGCTTTCCCTTTGCATCTTTCAAAAGCCAAGCTGTCAAGAGAAAGCACAAATGATTTTTGCTTACAAAATGGAGGTTGTGGGATATGTACCCTTTTCGGTGAGATACCCAAGCTTTTTTGCCCTGATAGCCATCAGAATGATGCGGTTCTTGCACTTTCCCTGAAAAAGTGCATTCCCGCACCTTTTCATATAAAAGGTTTGACAGCTGCTGTTAAAATTCTGAGTCCCCTTAAAAGGGAATTTTCGAAGGACAATGGTGGTTGGGTTGTGTGTGTGTGTTTAATGCTGCTATTGCCATGTTAAACTTTAAACAAAAAGCAATGTTTACACTCATTTGGAGTGCATTTTTTGCAAGTCATTTTTTGGCTTGCAAAAAAGAGTAGCCATTGTTCCACAAAAACAGGTGGCAAAATGTGATCTCTGAAACACAGCAAGCCAAAAAATGACTTGCTAGTACAACAGAAACACGGAGAATAGCAGGTCAGTCCTGCTGCCATATCCTCTGGGATACCAGCTGGGGAACCCAGGGGGAAGGAGGAGGAGAACAACCCACAGTAAGCCCAATCATCTGTCAGATGTCCTGTGGATTGCTCTTAAAATAACCAACCCAACGTGGTTTATTGGAATTGTTATAGATCACAAACTGAATATGAGTCAACACTGTGTTCCGGCTATAAAAGGCAAATGTTATTTTTGGCTATATTAACAGAAGTATCACTTTCAAATCACACAAAGCACTAGTTTCCTTCTACTCAGCACTGGCTGGACTTCATCTTCTGTACTGTGTCCAGCTCTGGGTGGGTCCCATAATTTAAGAAAGATGCAGGTAAACTGAAGAGCTTCAGAGGGCAACAATGATAATCCCGGGGCTACAAACAAAGCCCTGTGAGGAGAAACTGAAAATAAATGGTCATGTTTAGTCTTGAGACACCCAAGGGGAGACATGATAGCACTTGTCTAGTATTTGAAAGGTTGTCAAACAGAGGAGGGCCAGGATCATTATTGTTGAACTGTATGAATATTTGCATTTAAACCCAAACATATGCTTCTGAAAGAAAATGCACATTTTTGAATTCATGCAATCGTACAAAAGCATTATACACACATATTGGTGCATGTGGGAAGGTAAGAACCATATGGGAAAACTGAAGGATAACTGCAGCCAGATCTGTGTATTATCCTTGGAAGTGTGAATCACTGAAACCAAGCTGACAAAATCTGTGAACATCCCTACTTGAAACAACTAACAGATACAGGTAGCTTGATTGTCTCTGGGGTTCATACAGCTAACGTATATGCTATAGCTGCAGATTCCATTGCCACAGAAGACCTGGACTGGAAGTGACTGAATCAAACTAATCCTGGCTAGGCTGAAGGTAGGACCATATCCTTCAGAAACATTACAGGCCTGCAGCACTCAACTGAGATGATAACTAATCAACAAACACATGATTACAGCCAGGGATGGCATGTTTAAAGCCTGGGAAAATTTAAAAATTGGTCTTTTCCTAGCACCCAAATGAAAGAGAGCAGAGAGTTTCTCAAGCAAAGCATCACAGCCATAAAAGCTTACATCCCCACAGCTGCTCACCTCACTTCAGACCTTCTGCAACAAATAAATATACCCACAGAAAAAAATATAAAAGAGAGAAACAAGTAGTGATTGATGAATGCCCAGCAACATACATGTTCTGAGGACGAAGTATGCCTATGAACACAGGACTGCAGCAATGTCAGTCCTCAGGCTACGCAAAACGTGTGGAGCCAGACTCCCCCTTTCAGCCTGCTTCCTCAAGGCAGAAAGGCAGGTCCAGGTGCAGCTTGGTCTGTCCCTGCCTGGAATGGCCATGCAGAGAGCAGAAGGCAGAGGCGACAGGCCCATTCCAGGCTGGATTGGGAATGCCAATCCAGCATCCCTTCTTTGCTGCAGAATCCCTTCTTTCTTCTTATTCTTAACAGTAGGTTATAGTCAGGGTGATTAGCCAGGCATGCATACAGCTACAGATGCTTATTTTCATTATTTTGACTTTTAAAATATATCACACTTTTCTACAACAAAACGGTGCTTATTTCCAAGTGAATTGGTTTAGCCTCCGGGCAGCAGAAACTGATTAAATGTTCAGGATAGGTATTCAGAACTTCTTCTGGCTTAGGTGTTGATAAATTGCAATCTGTCTTTATGCTCATGGCTGAAAAATAAAGTGGAAGCGACAGAGTGAAACTTCCAATTCCCACCCCCGTTCCAGTAGCGTTTATCTGAAGTTCTCTTCCAGGACCAGCACCAAGGGTAAGTGTGGCCGGGCACCTGCAGAAGGCCCGCAAGCCAGCTGGTTTTTGTTGACATGAGCACCACAGCTGTGCTACTGCAACCCACTTGCTTCTCTGCGTCCCTCTCGGGACCAGACAGTGGTGGAAAGAAGGTGCCACTGATGCTGCTGTCTGCTTGTTCCCTGGCCCCGTGCCTGCCACGCATGCAGGCCAGGACAAAAATGAGAAAGAGCAACAGCAGCTGGCGAGTCACTGAGGGAGGGGCCTACTGACGGTGCCTTGTGCAAGGGCCCTCCAAAACCCGAAGCCAGCACTGCTCTTTCCAAAGCTGGCCAATAGCTTTGGAACAGCAGAAGAACAGCAGAAGAACCATACAAGCTCAGAAAGAGGGTCTTTCTTGTCCAGCATTCTGTTCACAGGGTGGCCAACCAGCTGCCCACAGGATCCCACAACGAGGATGTGAGGGCAACAGCACCTGCATGCACAAGTTCCCCAGCACCTGCTGCACATAAGCAGACTGCTTCTGCTACTGCAGGGTGTGCAGGGCCACCAGAACTAGTAGCCATCCTCCCCCATGAATCTGCCAATCCCCTTTTAAAGCAATCCAACATGACGGCCTTCACTGAACTTCGTATGTCACTCTGCACTGTGCGAAGAAGTGCTTCCTTGGATCTGTCCTGAACCTCCCACCAGTCAGGTTCATGGGGTGTCTTGGGGATCTAGCATTACGGGAGAGGGAGAAAAATGTCTTCCTCTCCACCTTCTATACTCCAAACAAGCATCTATCTACCTCTATCATGTCTCCCATGATTCACTTTTTTTGTAGGTTAAATAACCTCAGCTTTTGTAAATCTTTCCTCATAGAGGAATTGCTCCAACCCTCAATTTCAGCTGCCTTTTTCCACACTTTTTCCAACATTACAATTTTTTTTTCTTTGGGTGTGGAGACAGAACTGTGCACAGTATTCTAAGTGTAGTCACACCATAGATTTGTATAAGAGTAGTTTTATACAAGCATGGAACTCCATCAATATTATCAGGCTGGTATGTAGCATGTTCACACTGGTGGATAATTATTCCATTTAGGAAACAAGCTGTTAATACAAAGGTTCAGTACAGACAATGAATTATTTGCCATCTTCTTCCAGACTACATGTTGTTTTATATTATTCATTTGCTGGAGTTGACTTTTTTGTTTGGCTGCATTAACTGAATTATTCAACTCATGAACACAAGCCTAATGAAGGCAAAAATAAAGCCATGATGGGTATGTAAAACTTCAATCAGTATGTCATGCAAGATCTACATTTTAATCGCCCTTATTACTAATATAGCAGTTGACAAGCTCACTAAGTCTGCCCCCGCCAATCACTCCCCAGATTATGCTCCAGCTATGATTTTCCTCCTATAATAAAAATAACAGGTAGACTGCACAAGCAACATTAATTTACATGATACTTTGAAGACATGCCATGCCCCCATACTAGACAACCGGGTCTGCCATGCAGCAGTTGGCGATGCTGAGACGCATTCTCACTCGGCAGCGGTTAACTCAAGAACACACCTTGTGAATTCTGGAGAGGCACAT